AAGATTTAAGACTGACTTTTGATCATTGTGTTTCGGGTAAACTGTCATGATCAGAATCTAATTAACAGGTCCAAGCAAAAGATTAATGTGTAGACATTGGAGACTGCACAATTCTCGCAGTGTTCTTTTTACTAGAAGTCTCTGTTTTTAACTCCTTTTTTATTCTCAAAGGACAGAAAGAAGCTGGGCGGTTGGTCCAATTTGATTACAAGAATTGCCCAGAATTTTATTATGCCAAGCATGAGAGACATTTGTGGGTTGGATCATCAGGATCAACAAATGAATGATGTGGTAAAGGAAAGTGGTGTCTAAAGGTTGGGGACAAATAGACATGCATGAGCTTTTTTGGTTTTAATGGAGGGTGTCACTACTGATTCTAATAAAGCAAAAGCGTGTACTTGCAAGGTTTAAAGATTGTACACACCCTAAACTAGCAGCAATCATCATCCTCTCAGTCCTTTAATTGAGGGCTAACCTTGGATATTTGTCTTCTGCATATTCATTTATTGCTTTTTTGTAATACTCTATGACTCAGAGTCTATTTCCCATCTTGCTAATAAAGCAACAGCAAGTTCTTGCAGCATATATGAACCCCTTTTTGCCTGCACTAACAGGAAAAAAACAAAGCAGAGAAATAAAGGTCAGAATAAAGAACAGTATGCACAGGGCAGGTTTGGTGAGGTAGGTCAAATTTCCAACCTTGTGCACATGAATGTTAAGTTGTTAGGCTCAAACTGTGAGCAGTGAAACTCTCTCCGATTCATCAGTTCTCTTTGTTTTTATATATGAGAAGGCATCTAAGCATTCTGTTTTTGGCATATTCCAAAACAAATAATAATAATAGCAATAATGATGGTAAAAACTTGCTATAGTAGTAATAAGATGAAATTAAAGTAGTAGAATTTTGACAGGGTGACAGACATAACTCCTGAATCAAAGGGTTTGCTAGATGTGGAAATGATTAATTATGAGGAAGCCTCATTAAAATACCAATATCATCATTATCGCAGGGCTCTAACTTTCATGCCCTTCATTCATAGCTCACATGATTACTGAGTTGTCCCAATTTCCGGTGACTGTATATACGGCTACTATGTATATTCTGACTCAGCCTTCTCTAATAAACAATTTAACTTGTGTTTTATATATTTAATTACCCTCTAAGTAAAACTAGCTAGCTTAGCTATCATTAGTAGCTTCAACGGATCTCACGCTTCATCCTCTTTAAATAAATTAAGTTGCAATTAATTACTCCCATTATATTAGACTTGACTGTTCACAAATTCGATGACTCTGACCTTTATGTATAGTTTGAATCCAGAATAACAGAGTGGTTGGGTTGTAAAAATATGATGGATGCATGCATATGTAACGTTATGATCTCACATATATTTTCAGCCTCTTGTATATATATGTTATCAGGAAAACAGCCACTTTAATTTGTCTTCTGGATCAACATATAATTAATTAATCATTAATAGAAATATTCCAACCAGTTGCCTTTAATATGGCTGAACTACATGGTGGCATGTTCTTTGTCAGCCATTTTAATACTATATATAGCTTCACAAATTGAAGTTGAAAAAAGAAAAGAAAAGAAAGGCCTGTATTTGAAGTGCTACTTGCCTGAAATATGTATTGATCTTGAAGATGTTGAGTGTGTGATTGAGCCCCCCCGGGGGGGGGGGGGGTGAGTAGTTTATGAGAAAAACTTGATCGAATGAAATAGAAGGAGAAATGTAGAATTACACAAGTGTCCCTGGGGGGCTAATTTACACAAGGCTCTCTAGTAAGCTTAAAATAATTAATGCAAGCTACTCTATATATATATATGAATTCGATGACACTTTGACTTGCAAGTGGAGCTGATCATACGCATCTCATCTCTGTAATTTAATGACTCAAACGAGTTAATCGGAATTAATTTAATGTTAAAGAAAGCATCCACAGTTAATGTAAATCTCTCGGAGTTTGACAAATAGAAAGGCACAGTGTGGGTTCATCAACATTATATTTATAAAGTTACAGAGAGAGAGAGAGAGAGAGAGAGAGATTAAAAAGAAAAGTTGGGGAAGGATGGAAAAGAGAGAGAAAATATAGAGGGAAGGGAGAAGGAAGAAAAAATAGAAAAGGATAAGAAAGGAAATTAATTTTTTTTTGGGGAGCAAGGGGGGCTCTGCCTGGCACATGCTGAGGTTTCGCACTTAACATTATTGAGAAGAATTATGAATGGGCTGTGTGTGCACATTATCTTCTTTTTTTTAATATATATATAAGGACAAAATTATTAAAAAGGAAAATGATATGTAAGTTTTTGGATCCTTCACATGATAAAAACAGAGAGAGTCATAAAACCCTAATTACAACTTTAAGAAAAAAACATAAGAAAAACAAACCGACAACAACATAAACTCAAAAAACAAAGAAAACGAGATTGAGAACTCGATCAAAACTCAAAAGTAGATACACTACGCAAATTGATGTTTGCTCATCAATGAGAAATGAAAAATCTCTGACCTCTGTTCGCATAATTAATTAATTAATAGCGAAGAAGTGAATAATAAGCAAAAGAGACGAAAACTATGGAATTGAGGGAATTGAATTAGAAGCAAACATGTGATGTGAGTGGCGGTTTGGAATAGTCAGTCATACATGTGGGTGTGAGTCAAAAGGGGTTACGTGAAGCGTGGCGTGGTAGCTACACAGTAAAGTAGTCGTGAATCACTCTCTGTCACATCCCAAACACTATTAATATTAGTATTAGTATTATTAACACACTTCATATGAATTATGTATATAACATAATTAATCTCGTGGAAAATAATCAGCCTTTAGACGCGGAGTGATTGCACGTCCTCTCTCACTCACTCCCTCCCACATTCCTACGCCTGCGTATCTCACCACTACGTCACTCTTCAGTCTTCACCCCATTGCCCGCTCCTCTCAATCATATCTCTCACTGCTTATATGCGCGCATCTATTCATTTCTGCTCATATCAATATTCTTTTTCTCAACTTGCTACCCAATTCCCATATTATATTGCAACCGACACACACACACACACACACATCTTTCATGCACCAAGATCTTACTTTAATTATCATTTTCCATTTATTTTGTTCCACAAGTGTGTTACTTGTGCTGCAAAATACCCCCCTTTGATTAAACAGCATCTGTATATCATTGATTGTGTCTCGCCCATATATATTATCCCTACTGTTTAAAAAAATATATATATTAGTGTTCCGGATCAAACCCCGCAAAGCAATAAAAATCAGACTCACGTCAAGAGTTAGATTTCGAATAATATCATCCCATATTTTTAAATCACAGAAAAACACAGGGTATTATGTATAACGGAATCAAGACATGGAAGAACGAGGAACCATATGTGTTGCTTCTTCGTCGTTCCCATATAGCTGCGCCATACCAGAGATTTATCCCAAAACAACGCTAAAATTAAATAAAGAATCCTTGGTTTATAAGATATTTGCTTAATAAATTTACATTATTATGGTGGTTGTTCTTATACAACTTTATATTGTGTTGCCGTGCTTAAAGAAGGCCGCAAGAGAGGGCAAATATATGTGTGAATAAGTGTCGGCAACCCCCAAAAAAAAAAAAATGTTAATGAGCTAAGCAAGGCTTCTCTGCCATGACAGGGACGACGAGGAAGTTAATTAGCAATTCATGTTTCACAAAGACTTTTCGTGCGGTCTATTTTTCTTTTATGGTTGACATAATTTTCTGCTTAATTAACGGCTATTATCCTCACATTCAGATTAGTTTTGATTTTGAAATGAATAGATATATTTGATGAGTGGACTTGTAGATTTTAACATAAATAAATTTACCTAAAAAAATAAAGCATTTAATAGTCAGAAAAAGAGAGCGTTGTGAACCAAGTCATGTGTAGCTCGAGGGTTTTCAATAAAGAAAGAATAAAAAAGGAGGGGAAAGTAAGGAGAGAGCATGTGATGGGCCCTGTTTTTGTTTTTAAAATATGGCACGTGACCTTAGCTGGAATTCAAAAGGTAGCTGATCTCAGTGTGAATGTGGTTGCAGTCTATATATATTACAAGGTTTTATTCGCCTTTCTATTAATTGATTGAATTGTTCTATAATTTATTAATGGACTTTTTTCCTCTTACATTTGAGAGAGGTTTACAATTAAAATTATGTCCTCTCTTATTGGGAATACTTCTGTGTTTCATGTGATCTACTCATCACAAGGTATTATTTCATGAAAAACAAAATCAAAATGTTTATTTATGTTGTTGTTGGAGCTGTTACCTGTTATTACTGCATCCCATTTTCACAATAATGAAAGGCATCATATTTCAATTATTGATAAAATGGTTTTAAAAAAAACGCAAGTACCCCAAGTAATTAATCCAAAAATCATATCCTTATTATTAACAGCGCTGTTAACAAGTTAGCCCAGAAAAAATATACTAATTGAGGGTGTTCATGGTGGCCTGGCTATGAGTATCAAATACACTGGCCTACGAGATCCTCTCATTGAATTCACTCTTCCATGCACAATTGCTCATGTTAGCCTAAGATGGCACTTAACAGCTAACTCGCTTCGTACTTCACACAGTTCTCAGTGTATTTCCATTATTTCAACTACCCAATCATGGTCTCCCAAATGCACATGTCTTTTTGATAAAATAACAATGATTGTGATGAAGTGGCCATTTAGACCCTGACACCGTTATTTCCTTCTTTACTTATTTATTTTACATTTTGGGTTTATGAAAAAAGTTAGAACAGATTAAACTACTCGCATTAGGAGTAGGCGTAGGAACAGTTAAATGAATGAAAGGTCGAAGTTTCAATATGGGCAGAGACCAAGCAAAAAATGACGATCGAGAGAGAGAGAGAGTAACAAATAGTAACAGATTAAAAAAAAAATAGCGATATGGATTGAAAATCGCGTCACCATCAATCTTGCTATAAAAACAACCCCTTTATCCCTCGCTCTCTCACACACCTTTACCCCTGCCTAGCCGGACCACCTCCTTGTTCTTCCTTAACAGAGCTCTCTGCTTCCATCCTCGGAGCAGAGAGAGATCTGTTATTTCTTTTTCCCGCCATCCTTCTAAATCCCATTTTCTTTCCTTCAGCTTCAATCTTCGTTCAGCAAAATACAAACTAAACTAGCCCCGTTCTCTCCATCTCGTCTCAGTGATCCCTTGTCGCTGCCATTAATCTTCCTTCACCGCCTCTGCTAAAATGGAAGAAGCTCAGACCAAAATTCTGATACCTGTGTCGGTCCAGGATGACGTCGCGGGACAGATCAAGATGATATGGGATGTGATCAAAGAGCCATTGTTGGTTCCGCTTCTGAATGTGGGAGTGTGCCTTTGCTTGGCAATGGCGCTCATGCTCTTCATCGAGAGGGTTTATATGGGCATCGTCATCGTCCTCGTCAAGCTTTTCTGGAAAAAACCAGAACAGCGTTACAGATACGAGCCGTTCCAGGACGACGAGGAAGCCGGCACCTCCCATTACCCTGCGGTTCTCATTCAAATCCCTATGTACAATGAAAAAGAGGTCCGTCTCATTTCTCTGATTCTTCTCTGTTTTTGTTTTGTTTGTTTCTCACATCCTGCCATTTACGTCGCTGTACACGGATTTTTGCGAAAGAGAATCCTTCGAGTTTTGCAACTTTGAAGATTGATGTTTGTGTCCTGCATTGGCCGGTTTCTGGGCTCAGGTTTACAAGGTGTCCATAGGAGCTGCTTGCGGACTCTCATGGCCTTCGGACCGTCTCGTGATCCAAGTCCTCGACGACTCAACAGACCCCGCAATTAAGGTAAGGGTGACAAAAAAATTGAGCCAGACACGCCCTTAATCTCAATCTATATTCTATCACCTGCATTTCGGTGCTTATCGTAATAGCTTCTTCTCATTTACGCTACATTTTTCCAGTCTAGAATATAGGTTCAGGTCCCGAGAAAACAAAATAAATTTTCACAAATGCTAAGAAAATTGAGAGTAGCAAAAATCATTTCGTACATTGAATTGTTTCGCATATAAATCTTATATATATACAAACATATATATGAACTAACAAAGAAGGGATTTGCATTGGATGGCAGCAAATGGTGGAGCGAGAATGCCAGAGATGGGCAAGCAAAGGGATCAACATAACGTATCAAATAAGAGAGAACAGAACGGGGTACAAAGCTGGTGCTCTGAAAGAAGGCCTGAAACGAGGCTACGTGAAACATTGCGAATACGTGGCCATTTTCGATGCAGATTTCCGGCCGGAGCCCGATTTTCTGAGGCGAGCCATCCCCTTCTTAGAGGGCAATCCCGACATTGCTCTCGTTCAAGCTCGCTGGAGATTCGGTAATCAACTCCCCTTCCTTCAGCTAAAACTAAACCACACTAATTGTGTCGGTGACATCTTACTATATCGCCGGTTTTCCCACGATTCTAATTTAAACAAATTATTTTGGGTCTTTCCTTTAATTTTGCTTTTAATCGAGGCTGAGGGGCCCACGAAATTAACCCCATCAATCACGGGTGGGACTGACTCTTGCTTTTATTAGTTTTTTTCGCCGACAATTTTTGCTTCTTTCAGTTCTAATGCTAATTTTTGGAGCTGTTCCTTGCTAAACACTTTAACTTGATGGCACTCCAACTTAACAATGCTCCCTGTTGGGTCGGAATGACTTAATTGCCTCCGCCCTGTTATGGAGAGACACGGTCTCAGTCATGTAGCGAGCAAAACGGCGACGGTTGTTGAGGTCATTTTGACATTAGAAAATTTGGAGGGAAAAAAAAAACAAAAATCAGGGATAATGGAGGGGCGGGGGTAAAACGGGGATTGCAATGAGTCAGCCACCAAATCCTGCGCACCGAGTGGCCACGTGGCTTTGGTGTAAATTTATTAGTTTTGGGGATAACAACGGAATCAGCATGATAATAAGGAAAGTACAGCACTGTGGGCAGTGGCATGTGCCTCTGAGGGCGGACCTCCCACTGATTTGCCGACACTTCACCCGTCCCTCATGCATCTCTCACGTGGCATTTTATAGTTTGACTCACGTGACGACAAAAATTAATTCCGCCTTTTGGGTTGCATTTCTCCCGCCAAGCGTTTCCCTTTTTCTGCGTTTTCTTAATACTCCTGTATAATTTTACCTCTTCTTTAAACACTCAATCTTTATTAATACACCGCCCTTTTTCTATCGTAGTACTATCTGTTTAATTTAATATAATTTTATTTTGATGCTCTTTTTTCTTTTTAAATCATCGGAGGTTTCAATTTGTATTCATTGGAGTGGTGCGTGCATGCATTAGGATTCCAATTGTATCGAGAACAGGAAAGAAAAAGTTTTAACATATTCCGCATGGAAGCTATCATAAATCGAAGTGATGACTGTGTTCTTTTCTTTTTTTTTTGGAACAGTGAATGCGGATGAATGCATGTTGACGAGAATGCAAGAGATGTCTTTGGATTACCATTTCACAGTGGAGCAAGAAGTTGGATCAGCCACTCATGCTTTCTTTGGTTTCAACGGTAATTGCATTCATTTAACTAACGTTAGTCTTCATCATCTAGAGCTTATACTCTTACCGATGATACAATCGTTGTTGCGCGTATCCTAAATGCAGGCACGGCAGGTGTTTGGAGAATTGCCGCTATTAATGAAGCAGGAGGATGGAAAGACAGAACCACAGTGGAGGATATGGATCTTGCTGTCCGTGCCAGTCTCAGGGGCTGGAAGTTTGTTTATCTTGGAGATCTTCAGGTACTCTTCTCGCACATGAATTCTATTAATGCAGCTTCTATATCACTTTTAACTAATAATGGTTATCTTTTATGTGAAAACACTTGCTGTAGGTGAAAAGTGAGCTTCCCAGTACTTTGAGAGCCTTCCGATTCCAACAGCACAGATGGTCTTGTGGTCCTGCTAATCTGTTCCGCAAAATGGTGATGGAGATTGTAAGGAACAAGGTTAGCCCTTCACAATCCTACATTACAAAAAGGAAATTACATGATTCTCCTCTTGAGTTGAATATGCAATGATCGAATAAACATTCATCGAAGTGGTGAAACTGTTATCTTTTTTTTTTTTGATAGCAGGTGAAACTGTTATCTTGTCACGCCTGCTTTAGTGAATTTTTATTAGGATATTGAACATTCATTGGTACATTATGTTACGTTGTGTTTTTTGTCCCCTATACTACTGAGATTGAAAGGGGAAAAAACGTCTTTGTTACTGGCGAAGAACAGGTGAGAAATGAAATTTGCTGACATTTTTTCCCTTCTGGGCGAACTTTTTTTCGCAGAATGTAAGATTTTGGAAGAAAGTGTATGTTATATACAGCTTCTTCTTTGTGCGGAAGATCATCGCCCACATGGTCACCTTCTTCTTTTACTGTGTGGTGATTCCCCTCACAATATTGGTCCCAGAGGTGCAGGTTCCTCTATGGGGAGCTGTCTATATTCCCTGCATCATCACCATCCTTAATTCAGTAGGAACTCCGAGGTCTGATAAGTTTCTTCTTGTCATGTTATATTTGTGTGGTCTGACTTTTCACTATAAGTGTAATGTTTTGAAAACCATCTGGAACATTGGCAGGTCCATTCACCTATTGTTCTACTGGATCCTTTTTGAGAATGTCATGTCTCTACATCGTACAAAGGCAACCTTTATAGGACTCCTGGAAGCTGGAAGAGTCAATGAGTGGGTTGTCACTGAGAAACTTGGAGATTCTGTCAATGCCAAGAATAACAAGACAAATGTCACCAAAGCACCCAAAAAGCCTGCATTTAAATTTGGAGAAAGGTCAGTTCTCTTTGCAAAACACCTAGTTACACACCCACACACACACACACACACACACACCGAGATACAATGATGGTTAGTATTCTATTTATTCGTCCTTGGCCTTATAATTTCAAGCTCTTCGTCTCTCTGCTGTCATTTCACGTGTCCATGTCGTTGCTTCCGTGATTAGTTTCTTGGAGGTGTGGATCTGGCTAAAATTACTGCTGGCATAAATAAATTCCATTATCATTATCACACTTGCATTATGAAGGAGATAGGTTCGATAGTGTCAGGCCATGACTAAACAAATAATTTAATGATTGCGGGGAATAAGAAGTGTGGCACTCTGGCCATTGAGTGGCTTGGTTATTTATTTTAACTTTGTTTCAGCGTAGCAGATAAGATTCTTTGAATATTAGGTGGATTATTAAATATAGACAGCGAAGTACTTGGAGATTCTTGTTTCCCCAAAACTTTCTTTTATGGTTGCCAATAGGCAATGCTCATCCTTCGGCTGAACATTTACTGTCACTTGCACATGATAGAAGATTTGGAGAACCCCAAATTAAAATTAGTATTTGATTTATATATTAATATAGAAACAATATTAAAAGAAGGAAACCAAGACGAGAATCTGTTTTCTGTTGCTTTGTCATTTGATTGACTGTGCCCTGTTGTTAAACTTGAACAGACTAAATTTATTGGAGCTGGGATTTGCGGCCTTCCTCTTCTTCTGCGGATGCTATGATTATGTGAATGGAAAGCACAACTACTTCATATACCTCTTCCTGCAGACCATAACCTTCTCTATAGTAGGATTTGGCTATGTTGGCACAATTGTTTAAAGCTCTTGGAGCCTACATCTGAAGTTAGTTAGGTTTCCCCTGTACTGTGTCCATATCTTTCTAGTTCTTCAGAATACGTAGAAGGGGCTGATTAGTTTCTTCGAGCAACGCATCAGGAATGGATGATCATCAGCTAATTCATTTTCAAGATGGGAAAGAGAAGTTCTTCCCATAGTCCCAAAGATTCAGACAGATCAAAGGCAGAGAGGATTTCTGTCACAATAAAATATCCATAACACAAGCTGGTATAAGGACAAGGATGAAGATCTACGAAAATGTGATTCTCCATTACAGTGCTAGGCAACAGGTAGTTGGTGTTGTTAATTGTCAGCATAGGTTGTTTTTGAGAGATTTTGTAGTTTTGTATGGGCCTTGTCTTTGTTAGTTTCCCCTAGTTTGAACCCAATTATCTGGTGGGGTTGAAAAGTGCACATTGTAATTTATGTTATTTTTCATTTCTCAAGGAACGAATCGAATCTTATTTGTCGTTCATTTATGTAATCAACTGCTGCTCCTGTTACAGTTGTACTTGTGGCAAGTGACATAAATGAATGAAAGCTTGTCAATAATATATTCTTCTTCCGTGCCTCTCCAATATCAAAAATAATCTTCCAGAGCCTCAGTTCACGGCTACGATCCAGTGTTATGATTCTCCGCAAACACACGCATCCATACCTTCACTCTTTTGATTTCATTATTCAAGCCTTTCCACATGACAAACAATTGCAATTTTTAATTGCTCAAAGGGATCTATTTTTTCTGTGAGTTTAAAATTCCTTCATTGGTGAAAGCATCTTTCTTTCTCCCTGAGTTTGAAATTTCTTCATAGGTAAAAGCATAGGATGCCATCTTTTAGTTTTTGTTTGTTCATAATTCATAGCTTAGCAAGCGGCAATAAAATAAAAACTTGAGGTAAGAGGTCACATGCAGACACGCATATGCCGTTTGTTCTTCTGTCAGAACCAATGTGCCAAACATAACCTGTTAATTACAACCAGCCAGTATTGAGAAGCCCATTGTTTGTTTGCAAAACAAAAGGGTTCCATTACAAATCCTTCATTAGCTGTGATACACAACCCCGTTTCTTGATTTTGACAGCAGAGTACGCTTTAGGGTAACATCATCAATCATCACTAATATATAAAAGCCAGAAAGCTTTCATGCCTAGTCCCCTGATCATATGTAACCTGACATGGCAAAAATCATGATTTGTCATCTGGGTTTGTTGCTTCTACCAAAAGCGACATTATCTGTGTGACCTTTCCTCAGTGCTTTTTTTTTTTTTAAATGCGTTACTGTCTTATTCTATGAGCAGAGAAGAATGTGGATGCACATGCAATCATAATCCTTCATTATAGTTTTTTAATATTCCTCCAATCCTAAATATAAGACTCATTTTGTAATATAAATTATACTATAAATTATAAAATAGGTCTTACATTTAAGACCGGAGGAGTTAATTTTATTAAACTTTATGCCAATCATTGTCCTATCTATGTATTGCAAACTTCCAAGGTAAGCTTAATCCCAATCTTTTCCTAAAGAAAATGTCAATGAAGGAACAATAACCATTCTTTTTACACGATAAAAACCCATTAACTTTGCTGAGAAAGGTTTTCAACGTCTGTTATGGCTCACATATTATTATACTAGATGAGTAAATTTCAATCATATGATCAAGTGGCATTAAAAAAAAAGACAGAAAATTGTAATTTGGTATAAGGTGAAAATAATAGTAATTGCTTTCTTCTATAAAGAGACAAGGCTAATTTCAGCATCATAGCTGTTTAAGATTCGAAAAAAAGCAAGCTCGAAAGGGAATCATAAGCGATAATGTAAGAAGAGCACATAATGCTGTAAAAAAATGTGAAAGGAAATATTTTTTATATATAAACTTGATCTATTTCTAAAGATATAAACACTTCAAAAATGAATCTCCCTCTAAAGCATAAGGAACTATCTGCTTTGCCTAAAAATTATTTCTTGCCAGAAAAACAGCAGCCAAGGCAACTTACAAAACGAGCAAATATCATTGCTGAAATGTGGCAGCAAGACCATAATGCAAATAATTTTCTTCTGATTTTACCCTTTTCCTGTGTTTGGGCAGAGGTTTGGCAGAGTATTTATTAAGGGAGCCAGAGTTGTAACATGGACACATAAATGCAATGTGTGTGTACTTGTGCTTATATAGTGAGGACAGCATTCTAGTTAACAATATTGTTTCCAGAAAGAGAGAAGATATGGGGACATCAAGCCTCACAAAAGAAAAAAGGCCTTTGGTAAAACGCACTTCGCATAGTAATATTAATGAATAATTAATTCAAGGGTATGAAGAAGTTGTCTTTTTCATATTTGTTTGATCTTGTTTTCCGATTTACCGAAATTGGATCTGGCGAGCTGGCTATGTGTCGGCTATGGAAACACCGCAAAGTTTTCTCTGCCAACTTGTAATTCTGAAGCAGTACCATCAAATAATTAAGTCTGCATGTAGCTTTCCCCCAGACAAAGTCTATCAAACATTTAATATTCAGCAATAGTAGTCCCTTTTTCTGTAATATTACTTCCTCTTCAACCTACCTCTTGCTGTTGAATAATAAGAATTCAAGAGCGTTGTAATTTCCCTTTTTCCATTGGTTTCTTTTTCTTTTTCTTTTTTGGGTGTGGGGGGGGGGTGTGCACAAGGTAACTAGCTTTAAAATTCTTATAGATCAGGAGCATCGCCAGCGTTTGTAGTCCAACGGTTAGGATAATTGCCTTCCAAGCAATAGACCCGGGTTCGACTCCCGGCAAACGCAATTTTTAAACTTTTTAGCTTTTAAATTTTTCCCTCCAAAAATGACAAAATACAAGAATATTGCTGGCTGTGGGGTTCGAACCCACGCGCACTTATGTGCAGAAGATCTTAAGTCTTCCCCCTTAACCTCTCGGGCAAACCAGCCGTGAGTGCTTTTTGGCCTAACTCGAATGTTGTAGAAGCCAGTAAGAAATCGTACTCCAACACACGAAACAAGGAAGAATCATGGTCCCGTCTGAGATGGCAGCGAGTTACTAGAATTGAGCAATGGGAGGGAGAGGTAAGAGTAAGGGCATACTGATAAACCTACTGCTGGAGATATCAACAATAGGGACAAAGGATATTTGCAGGCAAGAAAAGTAGCAGAAGCTACCTCCATGGAAAGCGGGACATGTATGCTAATCCCTTTTTGGTTGTTCTGGTTTGTCCTCAGCCCTTCCTACACTTATTCAGAGTTTACGTTTTCATCATAAGCCATTTTCCAATTTTACCTAAAATATCCATAAGTTGAGTTTGAGTTTTAACAGGTTGTTCTTCAAATATTAACAAGTTGTAATTCAGATTTTGATAAAGTTCTTTAAGTGATCTTTGAATACTAGTATTTTGTCAATTACATATTAATAGGTTAGAATTAAAGTTGACAAGTTGTACAGAAGACCTCTTAGTGTGATTGAATTTGCCCAGCGTAGCACTAGAATGTGGGTTTGATCTGTCCCCATCATAGTGTATTAGGTGACAATTCGTTGTTTCGATTGTATTTCTTAAGATAAATAGTTGTGTGTGTGTGTGTGTCAACGAGCCTAATATCAAAAGATTTTGTTGGTTCAATGGTTACAAATATCTCAACGAACCTAAAAATTCTTTAGGACATTTCAGTACTTGAATTATTGAAGTTAGGACCTGTTTGGGTGACTCCCAAAACTATGGTTTGGGAGGCAAAACTATGGTTTGGGTGGAATGTCACCTAAACAGCATCAATTTTAATGTCATAATCTAAAATCATGGTTTGGGCCGAAACCATAGTTTTGGAATCCAAAACCATGGTTTTAGGAGAAGTGAATCCATTCTGCTTCTGGCTCAAATTAGAGAGTATGATTGTGTCAGTTATAGTAGATCTCAACAATAATATGACTTTAACATCCCTCAATTAATTTTTTATAAACATATTAATCTTAATTATGTTGGTAAAATATATATTATTAACAATTTTATTCCTTCAAATTAAAATATATGATAAAATCTATCTTTTATATAATTATCATATTAACTTATGTCTTTTTTAGTAATTTGTATGTATAAAAAGTGCTTTTGATAACAACTATCCAAACACTCTCACTTTTCAGAATCACTCTTTCACAAAATCTATTCTTCACAAAATTTATTCTCCCCAAAATCTATTCTCCAGAAACTATTTTCCAAACCGTGATTTGATTTCATCCAAACACCACTGAATTTCACACAGGGATGTAGGGCTTGTTTGGATTGCAGTTTGGAACTGTAGTTGTGTCTTGGAATCTGTAAAACTGAGGTTACAAATTGAGTTGGACCAAAACTGTTGTTTGCATGTGTTAACTTTTCTAACCAACTTCTAACTTTCAATCTCAGTTGGACTCAATAGAGAAAAATATGACTTTTCAAACCGCAGTTTCAAACGGTGATTATTAAAAATGAACATCCCAGATTTACCCTCACATTTTTTCCTCTACCTCATCTCCTTCGTTAGCATAATAAGCTTTTATTCAGACCAAATGAATTTTAACTTATATTCATATTTGTCCATTATGTATATTTAATTAATTATCTACAATGTGTTTTCAAATTTTTCTTTGTAAGAAATATTTGTATTTTGTAATTTTACAAATAAACTATTTATATTTTATCATAATAATTTTATGTATTTTTTAAACTATTATTACATTAAAAACATAAAATTTCAAACATTACTATTCAATAAAGTTCATGCTCTTTTCAGTCATTTTATAACTAAATTAACTTTTCTATTAATTATCTAAACAACTTTTAACTTTTTCAACTGACTTTTTAAAAACACTTATCCAAACATACCCTAATTAATTTTTACTCTAACTTCAATTACAAAAGTCAGTTGAAATTTTACCCCAACGCTAATCCAAACATATCCGTAGACTTTTCAGCATTCTATAGGTTTTTAACCGAATTAAGTGCTTGTGGGTGTTGATGAAATCTTTAACCGAATTAAGTGCTTGTGGGTGTTGATGAAATTTTTCCTTGTTCTCGGCTATGAACGTTTCGGAATCAATTATACGCTGCCGGCGGAGAGCCAGATGCGACAGAAACAGTCGTGGCAAGAGAAAATCTTTTTTTTGTTTTTCAAAACTTCGAAAATCCATGCGATTCCAGCATAATTTGGCATAATATGAGCTCTTTCTAAAGAGACAGATCGGCCTCTTTTGGTTATAATATCCACCGACACGTTCAGGTTTATCCTTAACCTTGATAATCAAATTATATCATAGGCTTCACGGATACTTATTCCAGCAGCAATTATCGCAAGCCTGAAACTATCTGCAATTATCTCAAATCTGAAACAGCTGTAGTTATAAACACCTGACTGAAGAAAAAGTAAAATATCAATCTTAGGTTTGGAAGTCCACCAAATTAAACCCGTAAAACAAAATGGTTGTACAACAAAATATTAACTCAGAACTCTTAAGCACCAAGGCATAAAGACAGGCTTGTAAACAGGCTCTCAGCAACGCCAAACAAAACTTTGAAGCGGGTCTAACTGTCTCTCAGAAACGTCAACCTAAACTTCCTAAAAGGTTTACTATGGCAAAATGCGGAATAACGTCTTTAGGATGCTCATGATAATGCATCAGGGAAAAAATGCGACATGAATCAGTTGGTACTCGCTATCACTGACCACCATGCTTTGCCTTTTTATGTTGTTGAAGACCACCTTCAGAGTTGAAAGTCCTACACAAAGCACAGCAAAAATTAGAACTAATCTATCACCCAAAAAACAAAAATAGAACTAATCAAGAAAACATACTTGCTGCAAGATTTGCAGGACAATTGTCCACCAGACTTAGGCTCCTTGGCTTCACTGTTAGGAGTCTTTCCTCCCTTCTTCATTGGGTGAGGAGTAGCGGTATGACCACCTTTCTTAGCATCTTCAATTGTATAATAGAAAAACATGATATCACATTAAATAAAATGATTCAAACTAGCATTTATAAGCCATCCAGAGAGAGAAAACCAAGGGATAATTAGAAACACCCGGGGCACAAAATTAAATAGGAGCCTTACCATTCTTTTCAGGAGTACCAGATTTAGCTTTCTTGGCAGAAACTGGAGTTTTTGATGCAGAATCATTGGGCCTCTTCTTACTCAGATCCACCTTTTGAACATAAAATTATAATCTTCCAGCATGCTTTATTGTATCCAAACACAATGCTCAAAACAAAGTGGGCGTTACAAGTATAATTACACTACACTAACCTTCTTGGGAGTCTCCTCCTCATCTTCATCATCATCACTCTCCTCATCACTATCACTATCAGCTTCCATCATATCCTATGATGATCAAAATAGGCAAACGTCAAGAAATCCCCAGCAAGAATAATCAGGACACAACTTTAAATTTTAAAAAAATGAACACCAGAAAGAATAATCAGGACACAAATTGGAACACCACAAGCAGTGCCAACCAAGTCCCTGCCATGTAAGCTTATAGAAAGCATGGAACATGTGCCCAAACACAGAGTACGAGTTAAACCCACACTACTTAAATTACCTCATCAGAACTTCCATCCTCACCATCTTCATCAGATTCATCATCCTCATCATCTTCAGAATCGTCATCTTCGTTCTTTGGCTCAACCTTGCCCTGCTTTTTGGAATCATTAGCACTGGCATCGCTTTTCTTGGATGCGGCAAGCTTAGCTAGGCCAGACTTAGCATCAAGTTTTCCTGAAAGAAAACGGCAATTAGTCACCATGATGAATAGAATAGAGCAGCAAACAATTTCAGATTTGAAGCAAGCAACAAGCACCATTATCTTTTGTTATCACTGGGAGTTCTGCGTCCTCATCACTATCTGTCCATGTCAAAAAAACGAACATGTTTGAGCAGCCAACTTAATAAGTTACTATAAAAATAATAACTAAAAAGAATTCAACAAAGTAACGCTGCTCACCAGATAAGTTGTCAAAGTCATCACCCGTGCTACCACAAGCACAAACGTATGTCAAGGAAAAATGACAGAAGTTATAGTACTTGCACGTCAAGCCATTAATATATTAGAAAAACCGTCCTTGTAATCATCATCAGGAAAAAATGAACCACGGGTTGAAAATAGAAATCTAACTTTGATAGCCCTTAAGTAGGATGGCTGTTGACCGCCTAATAATCATAATGTAGAGGCGCAGAAGAATTCGGCAGCAAGAAAATACCAAATGAAATGAACGAACATGGTCGAGGTCCATGAAATTTGGAATGCTAAAATATCAAGATATTGCTCCATGAAAATTAATATAAATTAAAAAATTAAAAAATTAAAAAAACAAGAAAGTGATGAGTGGTAAAGGATATTCTTCATCAGGAAGTTCAGCTTTATATCCACAGAAAAAGACGCTCACATTTTTCGAATTGTGGGATAGCTCAAACTCCTTTTCCAAAACCAAGTCAAAAGATATCTGGGGGAAACTATCCTTTGAAAGCGTTCCCAAAACAAACTTCTGGTCATCAAATTTTAAGTAAAGAACCACAGGTTCAGCCCCCTTATCTTTCTTCGTCTCACCAAGAGCAGCCTACAAGATCGATAGCACGTCAGGAGGTCTCATCGAAGACCAATAATGTCTAATCGATTTACAACAAAGTGTTAACCTGAGAAAGATGGATGTAGGCATCGAAATCTTGAGGATCAACTTTAACAGGCTCCCCAGCCTTAACCTCAACACCTGTATTTCACAGAAGTTAGGTGACGTTAAAACAGCGCTCCACCAATAAAGAAAACCCATATTCGACCAACAGAAACATGCCATGTAGACCCAGAATAATGAAATGACTAGCCAATAGTCATGAACGGATGATAAACTGTCGCTTTTAGACACCACTATAAGTATAAGCGGCTTGTTCTCACATCAAACCAGGAGCAACTGGCTTTCAGACAGGTAAAACGTTTCACACAAACATCAACCACAGCTAGACGTGCACGAGATATATTAGCATATCATTGAATAAAACACGGCAACGGACCAATAGAATGAATGAGAACCGATATAAATGAAATGCAAGGAAACGAAGGAAATAAATGAAGCCAGAGCATATAAATAAATAAGAGACGAAAAGAGAGGCAATAAAAGAGAGTAATACCCCAGAACTCCATTAGCAGAACAGCGAAGGAAGCACAACGAGCAAAGGGAGCTGCAAAGAAGGGTTTTGGGGGGAAAGGGAGCTGGAAGAGCAGGAGCGGACGACGAAATGGAAGTCGGGGGCTTTTATAACCGTATTGCCGCCTACTAGGGTTTTAGAGCGCCCTCCTTTTATTTGTTCCGCACCACATCGGGAGGGGTGGGGGAACTGTTTTCCCTCTCTCTTCTCTTTTTTAGTTTTTTATTTTATTTTTTAATTAACGATACTAGCCGTTGCCCTCCGTAATTTGCCAGTTCCGTTATTGGGCCTTAGTGACCTTTGCATGGAAAAGGATGGCCTGAGCCCGGTCCATTTCAAAATTTCAGGTAGGCATTTCTCTAGCGTTCACGCAAAACGCTGACCTTCCCCGAACAAAAGTAGGCTGGCGAGTGGAGATACCCATTGCTTAATTGGGCCTTTTGTTTATTTTAACATACTTCCTTCGTTTTGTTGTTTTGTAGACTATCAGTCTACGTGCCCCGGCAGTCAAATCGTCTTGGTTTTTTTTTTTTTTTTTGTGGTTACAACCATCAAGTCGTCTTGATGTTACCAGTACGTGATATACAAATATGTTTATTTTTTTGTTCTACATCGTAAACAAAATTTTAAAAATTTAAGCCATACAATTTAAATGACATTTGTAAGCTGTGGATAAAAATTATTGGGTTTAATCTTTTCCCGGCAAAGTATTCAATGCTTGACATCAAAACGTTGAAGTGCAGTTTAATGGGCTCTCCCGCCTAGGGCTAACAATCTACACGCAGCAAGAATTGTGGTTCTCGCATGGGAGAGCACCCAACACATACGTGATGTGCTATTAAGAATAGTTTCTGAAGAATAGGTTTTTGAAAAATACATTTTATAAAGAATAGCTTTTGTGAAAAAGTAATTCTGATAGAGTGAGAGTATTTGAATAATTGTTATCATAGGCATTTTTTATATGTGCAAATTACGAAAAAAGACATAAGTTAATATGATAATTACATAAAAGATAGATTTTATACTATATTTTAATTTGAAGAAATAAAATTATTAATAATATATTTTTTATCAACATAATTAATAATATATAAGATAATGTAATTAATAAATAATTAATATGTGTATATATTTATAAAATATAAGATTAAATGTTTATAAAAAAATAATTAAAGGGTGTTAGAGTCATATTATCATTGAGATTTATTCTAACATGCATAGTCATGCTCTACAGTTTGAGTCAAAAGTAAAATTGATTTATTTTTTCTAAGACCATCGTTTTGAGTTCAAAACCATGATTTTGATCTAAAACCATAGTTTGTTAATTTTTCCCCCTGTTTGACAAATCTAGAACCCAAACTATAGTTTGGGTCCCAAAACCGGTTTCTTATGTTACCCAAATAGGCCCTTAGTATGAACAAGCCTGTTTGGCCGAAGAAAAAGGATAAACGGGTCCGGAGATAATATAGCATGTATTCTTGATTACATCACATTTTCTGAAAAAAAAAAAGATAAAAATCAATCATGATTTTAAAAATAATTTTATAATATACATAATAATTATATTAAAAAATGTTATCTCGATTCATATAAAAATAATTTTAAAAAGTGCTACCAAACACCCTGCAAGTTCAGGCATCTAAATGCGTCTCTAAAAGAGACCTATGATGTATATTGGTGAATATTGAGCAACTTCATTGAACAGAACTAGTACAGGACCCCTTTTATGTGTAAGTGGAGAAAAGATACCGTGATGCTCTATCCTTTGCCCCCTAAAGTAATGTTAAACAAGAAGATTAAATAAATCGAATGTTTATTATCAACCTCTTCGCTTACGAGAGATATCTATTCGCATGATTATTTGTTATTTTTCCGAGGCTATTTAATATTGGTACACGTACAAAGTGATCACACAGTGATGAAGATCTTGAACTAAATAGAAAATGAAACAATTAATTAAGAGAAAGATGCTGGCTATCTCCAGCAAGCAGTCACTCTTCCCCAGATAAAAGCGTGATAAAAAAAATACCTGAAAACTCCATTTTTTTTGGGCCAACTTGAAAACTTCATATTTTAAAGGGAAAATTACACTCAGGTCCCACAGAACACAATTAATATCAAGAAGGTCCCTCGAAATCGCGAAATGATTCTGAAGTCCCCAGGGACCTGTGTGTAATTAATTCTAATTGTGAAATTACGTAGTTACCCTTGTTAATTTGAACCTATTTACAACCTCAACAGTGGCTGTTAACAACCCAAGAAGAGGTGGTTAACAACCTCAACAACGCCCCTGGTATTCCACAGAGTGAGTTGTCATGAACACTGCCGAGGTTGTCAATCACGTCTTCTCGGGTTGTTAACAGCACTGTTGAGATTGTAAATAAAATTAGAACCTATTTACAACATCAACAGTGGCTGTTAACAACTCGAGAAGAGGTGGTTAACAACCTCAACAATGCCCCTGGCATTCCACAAAGTGAGTTGTCATGAGCACTGCCGAGGTTGTCAATCACGTCTTCTCGGGTTGTTAACAGCCACTGTTGAGATTGTAAACGAATTGTTACAATAAAATTAACAAGGGTAAGTAGGTAATTTCACAATTAGAATTAATTACACACAGGTCCCTGGGGACTTCAGAATCATTTCGTGATTTCGTGGGACCTTTTTTATATTAATTGTACTCTGTGGGACCTGAGTGTAATTTTTTCTATTTTAAACTACACTGCCACATTTACTTTTCTCCCGGTTTACAAACCCCAGGACGGAAAATAGAAACTGCATTTCTACACAGTAGGAGAGAAAACAGAGATTAGAAAAAAGAGGGGAAAAAAGCTACTACACAATTGCGCGATTGATGGATTCCAGAACAGAATCTATTGATTTTGGCGTATTAATTGTTTCTAAAATGAAGGCAGATCGTTGAATCCAAGAAGAAAGTGAAAATAACTTGCGCAGGATGATACCCTTCCGATTCAAAATATAACCAAAACTTTGTTGAAGATACTTAGTTTTTTTATAAGATAATATTATTTTTATATAAATATTTAATGGATTTTTTTTCAATTTTATTCTCATATATATATTTTTTGATTTATTTATTACATTATTTTTTATTTTAACTAGTTTTTTTATAAACATGAATAGATAAAATTTAATTTATATTTTGAACTAGAAAGAATAGCATGCAAAAGTACCTCTCAAAACTACTCCAGCCTTAGAGCCCAACTAAGGGTATGTTTGGATTGACGTTGGGCAAAACTGACTTCTAGCTCAACTGACTTTTGTAACTGAAATTAAAGTAAAATTCAATTAGAATATATTTGGATAGGTATTTTTAAAAAGTCAGTTGAAAAAATTAAAAATTGTTTAAATAATTAATAAAAAAGTTAGATTAGTTATAAAATAATTAAAAAACGCATAAACTTTATTAAATGCTAGTGTTTGAAAGTTTATGTTTTTAGTGTGATAATAATTTTAAAAATACATAAAATTATTATGATAAAATATAAATAATTTATTTGTGAAATTATAAAATAAAAATATTTGTTACGAAAAAAAATTTGAGAACACATTGTAGATAATTAATTAAATATACATAATGGACAAATATGAATATAAATTAAAATTCATTTGGTCTGAATAAGAGCTTATTATACTAAAGAAGGAGAAGAGGCAGAGGAAAAAATATGAGAGTAAATTTGGGATGCTCATTTTTAATAATCATCTTTTGAAACTGCAATTTGAAAAGTCTGATTTTTCTTCGTTGAATTCAACTGAGATTGAAAGCTAGAAATTGGTAGGAAAAATTAACTCAACCAAATAACAGTTTTTATTCAACTCAGTTTACAACTTCAGTTTCACAAATTCAAAAGCACAACTGCAGTTTCAAACTACAATCCAAACATGCCCCAAATTTTGCGCCCCTTGGATTGGAACTGAATAACATGACAGAATCTATATGCTTAATTAATAAAGAGTGTACCACAAAATATCATTGTCCAATAGGACGTTTATTATACGAATTCAAGGCACACCCCTGTAATTGGCAGCCTCTATCTCATCTGTGAGACTGTCAGGACATATACGACACATAGGCACGTAATAATTGTTCGTCTGAGTGGCAATCGCAGCATCAAATCAATTTAAAGTAGATCCCAGCAAACCAATTTTGTTCACTCTGTCAGCCTCTCTGGAGCAATATGCAAACGGTGGCGGTGCATTAGCCCCATAGCCACCCGCATCTGCCAGGCTGACGCTGCTACACTTTCGTGGGCAAAGAAAGAAGTTCCTAGATCCGAGCTCTATGAGCTTCTCCTCCCTCTGCAAACCTGATCATCATGCCAGATAAATCAAACCATTTCAGTCTCCATTATAACCATAACAAAACAAAAACCGCAGGAAGCCGAATTGACAAGGCTCACTTTCCAAGCTAAACTGCGAATAATGGAGGTCAAAATCGGAGGGATCCGTGGTCGGCACGACCGGCCGGCGGCCTTCCTTCACGTACTGCCGCACCGTCGCCGCCACCAAATCTTTCACCGTCGACTCCGGCGTCAATATGACCTGCACAGGCCCGAGGCTCCCCTGCATCGTCACCTTAAGCAGCAATTTCGGCGGTACTACTCGCGGCAGATCATCAGGCAGTGTCGCGGTAATTAGACTTCCGTAGGAGAAAAAGTCCGGCACGGTCCTAGGCCGGCCAATTTGGGATGACTTGGCAGACGTCGCGTTCATACCCTGCAGGGACGACAAGTTCTGGCCGTTCCGGCGAGGCATGGTAGGGGCAACAATTGAAATAAAATATGCCGTGGGACAGAAACTCGAGAATCTCCAAAGCGTTGGATTGGATGCGGAGGTTGATGAGAATCAATCGGCGGAATTAACAAATCTGAGGCGAGGGAAGCCAAGAGCTGCACAAGAGCTTCGGCTGAGGGGCTGAGGAGAAGCGGAAGCGACCATAACCAGAAGGGTAAAATCGCAGATGAGCAGATGGAAAGGGAGGGTGGCAGAGGAGGCGAAGAAGATTTTGAGGGAGAAAATAGCGGAGCATGCGGCTTTATAAAAGGGAAAATTACACTCAGGTCCCACAGAGTACAATTAATATCAAAAAGATCCCACGAAATCGCGAAATGATTCTGAAGTCCCCAGGGACCTGTGTGTAATTAATTCTAATTGTGAAATTACCTACTTACCCTTGTTAATTTTATTGTAACAATTCGTTTACAATCTCAACAGTGGCTGTTAACAATCCGAGAAGACGTGATTGACAACCTCGGCAGTGCTCATGACAACTCACTTTGTGGAATGCCAGGGGCGTTGTTGAGGTTGTTAACCACCTCTTCTCGGGTTGTTAACAGCCACTGTTGATGTTGTAAATAGGTTCTAATTTTATTTACAATCTCAACAGTGCTGTTAACAACCCGAGAAGACGTGATTGACAACCTCGGCAGTGTTCATGACAACTCACTCTGTGGAATACCAGGGGCGTTGTTGAGGTTGTTAACCACCTCTTCTTGGGTTGTTAACAGCCACTGTTGAGGTTGTAAATAGGTTCAAATTAACAAGGATAACTACGTAATTTCACAATTAGAATTAATTACACACAGGTCCCTGGAGACTTCAAAATCATTTCGCGATTTCGAAGGACCTTTTTGATATTAATTGTGTTCTGTGGGACCTGAGTGTAATTTTTCCTTTATAAAACGAGGAAGGGAGAAGGAGAAGGGAGTGGGGAGGGGAGATTTTTGTTTGTTTGGGGGCGGGGATTGAGAGTTCACCGGATATAGGCGGTTGCAGATGCCGGTCGTTAGGACGGGTAGGAGGTTATTGGTATGGAGATTTTATAGCGTGGGAGGGAATGGAGAACACGTGTGTGGAAAGGATTGGGGGAAATGGAGTAGTTGAAGGGATGATGACATGTGGAGTGTTTGGTGCGGCGCGCTCTTAGAACGTGTTGGAACAAGAGGCTTCGCGACGGGAAGGGGTAGAGAGCGGGGATCCCGTGCATGATGTTACCAGAATCTCCGACCTCACCTCACTCTACAGAAACAGACCCGCCTGGCGTTATTTGACTCCCGATTGTCTCCCACCCCCGCTTGCCTCTATTATCAAACTGAAAATTTTAATGGTATTTTAATCCCGCAAATTAAATAAATTCATCCGCGGATGTCAAAGTCTTAAGGCCGAATAAAGAAATTGAAGCCAAGCCCCCATTGCTGCGATGCTAAGTACTGACTAGAAACGTTAAGATATTGTCCGCGGAGTTGCAAGAAAGCTATGGCTTGGGGCGAATTTTGAAGCATTGGGATGAATTACGATGGAAATAATAAAATATACCAAAAATACCCATGGATCGTGACGCGGATGTTGTGTGCACTTGTCTCCGCCGCCAGTATATTTCTCTAAGGGAAAATTAGGTAGAAGGATCTGAAAAAATTAGTATTTATTAAGAAGGATCTTAAAAATTGTAATTAATTTGAAAGACCAAAAATTAAAATAAAATTTTATAATTACCAAGTTATCCCTTATCAAATCTCTATATTATCTCTAACACCCCCTATCTTAATTTAACGATTAGTTATCAATTGAACTTGATCTCTCTCTGCGTATCTTTTTTTTTATACACACAAAGTTTCTATCAATAGCAGTTGTCTTCTTATAAATCCAGAACAAAGTAGACAAATTAAAAAGAACCAACTATTTATTGGACTGTACATGTATTCTGACTATTATTCTCCCTTCTTTAGTTTGTTTGTATCGAATGTTTTCTTATTTCCTTGTGGCCTCTATCCCACTATTCAATCTGTGAATAGTAAACATCAGTAATATATTGACACTATTTATATGTATATGTTTCACACCCAATTTTATTACAATATATTGTATGCGAATCTAGATGAATACGAACTAACAATGACGATAAGATGGGTAGCTATTGTCATGGAATTCAAGCAGATATTATAGATGTTTAGTTCATTAACAATACAAGCTCTTGACTGAAGTCAATATTATTATGCAATACATGCATAGATACTCTAGTTTGCATTATGGTAAGCTATTTGATCTGCTCACGGGATGCTGTGCAATAATATATACAGGTTCAAATTGAGTTTTATGATGATGGAGACAATGTAGAAGACAAGGTTATAAGTAGCTTCAATGGTTGGCATCGCTCATAGGACATAGGCTTTGTTAAGGTGAACTTTTAGCTTTTTAATGTTTTCTTAGTTGCTTGATTTACTTGATATTAACCACATATCTTTGAAACCTATAACCTTTGAGCATCAGTTTGATGTCATAATATTTGGTTCAAGTGTTCAACTTTCCTTAATAATGCAATGATATTGTTCAAATTTCCTTATTAAGTTAATGAGGAGTTATAATTACTTAAACTTTAATTATTTAGCATCTTGGTTTGCTAATATTTGATTAAAAGCATCCAATATAAAGACTTCTTGGATGAATATAAAAGTATGTATTTGTAGATTCATTCAATCAGAACTATACATACATATGAACACAATCACGCTATCCATACAAAACTTCTTAGATGAATAAAAATACAGTTCTTTCTATTAACCAAAATATGAAAATCAGGTAAATACTACGGCTTCGTAACCTAAGCTTTACTAATAATTTTTCCAACCACATCAGAATAAAAGTCAAAATCGCAGTGATGCAAGTTGGAAACTTCTCCAGCCATATCGAAATGAAAAGCTAGTAAATACTGATATGAATGACTGAAAAATAGGACTATTTTTTTGTTAATTGCTATATTCAGTTTTTAATTTCAAATGGGGGCAATTTAGTAATTATAAATTTATATTTCAATTGATAATTAACAGTCAAATATTGAGATGGGTGTTGGAGATAATATAGCGATTTGGCCAGGGATAATTTTATAATTGTAAATCATATTTTAATTTTTGGTACTTCAAATTAATTACAATTTTTAAGATCCCTCTTAATAAATACTAATTTTTTTAGGTCATTCTCCTTAATGTTCCCTTTCTTTAACTTCCCAGCTGGCCGTGATAAAAAAGAATTATACGTTAGTTTATGTATGTATTAATAGACAAAGAAAGATAAGAGGGAAAATTGACAGGCTATATGTTAGAACAAGAAATCAAGGTAGGGGAGAGCCGCCCTCCACCTGTCGCTCCCTTACTGAATAATTACTGGAAATGAGGTTTGGCAGCAAATGAACTCCTATATCAAACAAGAATGAAAAATCATTCAAAGTGGTGGCAGGTATCTCACTTCCTTCCACCAACGCCCTTCCCTCGTTCAACAGTTAATTACGCCAATAACAAATAAAATCAATGAAAATGACAAGTCACAACTCTGGAACACGTATGGACGAGCCAAGCACGAAAAAACAAGTTACGTAAGCGAGCCAAATAAATGGCAACCAAGCGCGACACATGCACCGCTATAGAAAATTGAACTGAAGAGTTTTGGGGGCGCTTTTGTTTGCGGCAATAGGTTGATGTGAGTGTCAAGATGTCGTTATCGTTATATGTCACCGGCGACACTATGTACAGGAAAGATGACTTTATTCTGCCAGGGGCTGCCTAACATGCGAAAGGACCATACCGTTGCCCATATACAGGGAGAATTACACTTACGATCCATATTGAGAGGTGAACTGTTAGCAGGAACCATTTAATTTTGGCACAGGACCAGCTGGTTTTGTCAAAAATAATAATAATCTTTACAATTAGAGATGTCCTTCCTGGTAATTATACAGCTTCCCCCTGCAGGCCTCGTAAGTGTAATTCTCCCCTGGTAATTAGAAAAAAATAATCCTTTCGGAGCTCCCATTGGCCAAAAAATTATCTCAGCTCTAATCTTACATTAAAGTTAAAGGCATTTCCTGAGGTCATCCGCACATGGAAATTAGCTGCATATACTTTGTGCCCTGGATATCATTTTCAGGGTTATCTTTATGCCGTTGTATTTTGGGAGAACGACATGCAAGGACGATTAAAATATGCATATCATCCAGTGGCCTAATATTAATAAATTCCCAACAAATTTAAATGAAATTAAAGGGTTTCAATGGCCCAGTAATCATATAATTTTTTATTAAACCAAAAGTAAATTAGGAATCAAATTTCACCTTAAACATTTATTCCTGAAAAATTTTTAGCCATCGATTTCCGATGATTGGGGGCAGAGGAAGAAGCCTTTTCCGGAAAAGAAGAAGAAGGAGAAGAAGTTTATGTAAATATGCTTCATTTAAGTCTCTTCAAACTTTACTGGTATTACGCTGTTATGCGGATGTTTGAGTAGTCATTACATGTCGTTTGCCCTGTATAATTAATTTTATGTCTTCACTGGTATTATATTTCTTTATATGATTTGTTTAATCTAGCCTGTATTTGCAAGATAAAAGATTTTCTAATTATATTGTTCTTTTTTTCCCCTTCACATGCTTTGTTCAATCTAACCTGTATTTGTGGGGTAAAATGTTCTATCTATCTTTTTGAGGAAAAATCTATTATTTCATTAATATATGTTGTTTTTTCGTCATATTTTCTTGAAAAGCATCCCCAGACTGCTCAGTTAGCTTTAAATAATGTGATATTCGTCTGATGGTCTCTTGGATGAACTGCACGTGAGTTTAACGGAGTCATATATGGTGTTCACACAGAGAGGGCACATTCGCACCACACACTTCAGCCCCTGAATTTGGAGTGTAGTGTATAGATTAATGAAGTAGGCTTTTGGATGTGAGAGAGTCAAACAAAGATGGACGTGATTTGAATGGCTAATATTTTTGAGTGATCTCATCTAGTATCCTAAGCAGACTATTTTTCAAGTATATCAACTGCCTAGATTAATCTGAATTCACTAATTGTAGACACTTCGAAGGGAGGGATAGCTGACTAGGGGATTTAATGCTTTTCATATCCAAATCAGAATCAAACTCTCAATTTTGATTAAGAGAGGACGAGTTCTATCGCTCAACCGCATGTCCCTAGTTTGAATGGCTAATATCAGTAATGCCCCCATGCATGTGACACGTGTTCGGCCTAGCGGAAGGGGTCGGCAGA